TTCATCTTAACACCAGATCTTAGGTTGATAAAAATATTGCGATGTGTGAAATTTGAAGACAATCGGACTCTTACATCACATTTTATAAGAGTTGTAATTATTCAAAATTTTGACCCTTCGTGGGGGAGGTACTTGACAGAGTGGACTGATATTGTATATTTTCGTACCTGACCTAGCCACTGATGCAAATATTTTTTGTTGTTGTATTTTTCTGTTCAGTAAAATATTTTCTTTTTGAAAATTCAGATTTTTTGTGGGGGAGGTACCTGAAGAAGTTAGCCGTTATGGCCCATCTCCGAACTCAATTTAAGTTTGGTAGTAATATTACGATACACCAAGTTTGGACCAAATCGGATACTCCCTTCGAAAGTTATCGTGCGTACCAGCCAGCATACAGACAGACGAACGGATATCTCTAGATTGAATCCAAATGTTCTGAAACGAATTTGGTCCAAAGAGACCTAGGGTCTAAATCCGTTATTTCGATGAGGCACGTTTTGGACGTACCAAATGATACATACCCTCTGTAGCCATATGGCTGAGGACATAAAAATTACGAAACTAGTAGATTCTTGCAGTTCTGGAACACAGCACACATTTGTAGTTATTAATTTCTTCTTTCAGTGTATCCTGTGTCCTTAAATCTGTGTGTGTGTGTGCGCGCAACATATCCTATTACCATACCATTAGCATTTATTTGTGATCTATTCGAAAACAATTCGATTGTGGTTTTAAAGGGAAATTGAAAACTGTTTAACATTGGGCTTGAAATGCATATTTCATTTGGAGGAGACATTGGAGATTCTTCAACGTTTAGCTAATAATATAGCCAAATTGTAGGTTATGTTTGGTGTTGTCAGCTAAAATACATATGATACATATTTACCAATGGGAAGGACTGATGTATAATGGTTCGGATCAAAATGTTTTCTTCATTTTTTTCCTGTTTTGCAGTTTTGCAAGTTCATCATCTTCACAACAGATCTTGCGCTAGCAAAAATATTTGGATGTGAGAAATTTGAAGAGAGTTGTCTTTCAATAATCGTGAACCCTATATGGGGGAGGTACCAGAAGAAATGGTCCGATCTCTACCATATTTATAACAGATATTGTTTTTATGGAAATATTGAGATGTATCAAGTCTGAATGGAATTGGATGTTAAGTTCGTGTTTTATGAACTTCATGAATATTCAAAATTTTGACCCTTTGTGGGGGAGGTTCCAGAAGGAGTGGACCGATATATTCCATTCCTGCACACCAGAGCTTGGTTAAATAAAAATATTGTGATGTATGTAATTTGAAGAGAGTTGGATGCTTATTTGTCTTTTTTGAGCGTTTTGTTTTTCAAAATCTTGAACCCCATGCGGGGGAAGTACCAGAAGAAATGATCCGATCTCTATCAACTTTATAGCAGATCTTGTGTTTATAGAAATTTTGAGATGTGCCAAGTCTGAATGGAATCGTATGCTAATTTCGTGTTTTATGAGTTTCATGAATATTCAAAATGTTGACCCTTAGTGGGGGAGGTACCAGAAGGAATGAACCGATATAGGTATTCCATCTTCACACCAGACCTTTGTTTATTAAAAAATATTGTGATGTATTTAATTTGAAGGCATCACATTTTATAAGAGTTATAATTATTCAACATTTTGATCCTCTGTAGAGGAGGTACTTGATGGGGTGGACCGATATTGTCCATTTTCGTACTTGAACTAGCACTGTTGCCAATAATAGGTTTTGTAAAGTTAGGAGGAACCAGAAGGAGTGGACCGATATTGCCCATCTTCGAACTCGATATAACTTTGACAATAATATTACAATGCGCCACGTTTGGATCAAATCGAATACTTCCTTCGAGAGTTATCGTGCGCACCAGTCAGAGGGACGGACGGAAATCGTTAGATCGACTCCACATGTCCTGAAACGGATATGGTCCAAAGAGACCTAAGGTATAAAACCGTTATTGCGATGAGACACGTTTTGACCGTATCAAATTATATATACCCTCTTCTAGCCATATGGCTGAGGGTATAAAAATTGTAAACATATGATTGTGTAAGACTTGGACATGGTAGAATTACGAAGGTAATGCCATGCAATCATATGTTTACAATTTTTATACCCTCTTCTAGCCATATGGCTGAGGGTATAAAAATTGTAAACATATGATTGCATGGCATTACCTTCGTAATTCTACCATGTCCAAGTCTTACACAAAGGCTAAAACATATCAAAGCTTATATCTTATTGAAGTTACCTTTTTCTTCCGAATGCACTGTCATATTCAAATACACTGTTTGATATTGAAATACACTGTTTGATATTGAAATACACTGTTTGGTATTCAATTACACTGCTTGATATTGAAATACACTGTTTGGTATTCAAATACCCTTTTTTTATTCAAATACCCTACTTGATATTCAAATGCACTGTTTGGTATTCAAATGCACTGTTTGATATTCAAATACACTGTTGGATATTCACATACGATTTTTATAATCAAATTCATGGTTTTATAGTAAAATACAAAGTTCGATATTAAAAGCTTTGTTTGTTAACACCCTGAATTTTTGATGTTTAAATAAAATGTTTGATGATCAAATGCACAGTTTTATATCCAAATATATAGTTTCGAAGATAAATACACTGTTTGATAATCAAAGTTAAGAGTTTAATTTTTGAAGCATACTTTTTTGTTTGAATAAACGTATTTAAAATGCACTGTTTGGTATTCAAATGCCCTGCATGGTATTCAGATGCACTGTTTAATAACCAAATACATAATTTTTAAAATAAATACACTGTTATAATCGAAGTTAACTTTTTGGTTATTAAACTATAATTTTCCTTCCGAAAATGCACTGTTTGATATTCAAATGCACTGATTACAATTCAAATATCTTATTTTTATAATCAAATTCATGGTTTTATAGTTAAATACACTTTTCGATATCAAAAGCTTTCTTTGTTACGATCTAAAACTTTTGATTTTTAAATAAAATATTTGATAATCAAAATGCACTGTTTAGTATACAAAAATGGTTTCGAATAAAATACACGATTTGGTGGCCATAGTTAACTGTTTCCCTCCTGAACTCTTCTTTTGCGTTCGAATAAACTGTGATTTTCAAATGATATTCAAATACACTGTTTGGTATTCAAATGCACTGATTGATATTTTTATAATATTTTCTGTTGATTTCTTTGATTATCATGGTTTTATAGTTAACGTGGAATTGATTGAAAAATTTACGGGACAAAAACGTAACCATTCTCAATTTATTAACTTTCATGATAAGCCGTATCTGATTTATGTTCAATCGCGCAGCATTCACTTTGCCAATGGAAAGCATATCAATTGACGGCAATGGTAAACAATTGGGACCATTCAGCTGTTCAAGATAGTGTTACGCCTGTAACTATGCAACACGGGGAGAGAAATTACAGCGCCTACTTGGATGCAATGGGTGAGGCAATATTTCAACTTAAACATGATCCAAATTCCCATCACATAATTCGATATGGCAACGCCACCTATAAAATGTCGAATATTTTTCTCTATGAACCGTACAATGGTTTTCAAATACACTGTTTGATATTCAAATACACTGTTTGGTATTCAAATACACTGATTGATATTCAAATACACTGATTGATATTTTAATAATAATTTCTGTTGATTTCTTTGATTTTCATGGTTTTAACTACAAAAGCACATACACTGTTTTATTATTAAAAGATTTGATGCTTAAATAAATTGTTTGATAATCAAATGCACTGTTTTCTATCCAAATATATAGTTTCGAGTATAAAAACACTGTTTGAAGACCATTATTGAACTCTTCTTTTATGTTCAAATACACTGTTTGGTATTCAAATACCCTGTTTGATATTTAAATACCCTGTTTGGTATTCAAATGGTATTTCAAAAACAAATGCACTGTTTAACAACCGAATGCAAAAACTGGATTTGATTTGGCTTTATAATAAGTGTGGGAGTGATAGTAACCAAGCTTTTAGATTATCGAACTAATATATTTCGTACTAAAACTGATACGGAACTTAGTTCAGTTCTCTCTGAAAATAAATATTGGGATTTTCCCACCAGTCAAACGAAGAGAAACCGCATGGTTGTCATCGATTGCTACAACCCATTATAGTATAATAAATTTATTTCTTATTATACCCTCCACCATAGTATGGAGGGTATAGTAAGTTTATCGTTCCGTTTGTAACGCCTCGAAATATACATTTTAGACCCCACAAAGTATATATATTCTTGATCAGCATAAATTTCTATGTCAATTTAACGATGGCCGTCCGTCTGTGGAAATCACTTTAGCCCCCGAACGAAATGAAGTAGGTTGATTAAATTTTACTCAAATGTATACTATATCTGCAGGACTTTTGTTATTGAAAATGGGCCATGTAAGTCCACGTCTTCGTATAGCCCTCATATAACGGCACCTCCCGATATTCGGTATTTTGAAGATTTTAGTGACATTATTCACCGAAATAGTTTGAGATGTGGTATTTGAAGTTCGTAATGGATACCACAGCCTATTACAGAAAATTGTCTGCGCAGGTCCACGTCTTCGTATAGCCCCCCATATAACGGTACCTCCCGATATTCGGTATTTTAATGATTTTAGCGACATTATTCACCGGAAATGTTTCAAATTTGGTATTTGAAGTTCGTAATGGTTACTACAGCCTATTACAGAAAATTGTCTGTGGAGGTCCACGTCTTCGTAAGGTCCACACATAAAGCTATCTCCCGATTTTCGGTATTTTGATGATTTTAATAGAATTTTTGACGGACTTTATGTTTTTGAAAACTGCCAAATTCATTCCAAATGGTGGAGGGTATTCAAGGTTCGTCCCAGCCGAACTTATAGCTTTTTTACTTGTTATCTGATTAGGTTTTATAATACATACAAAGATTTAATCCGAAACTAATTCACAGCTATTAAGGCTCATCAATTGTGATTAGCTATCAGTTGGGCATTTGCATTCGGCATTGACTGAAAGCCGGACAAGTTTGGAAAATATTCTCATCAAAATGTGGCGATTGCTGATGTGGATTGCAGTTTTCATTGGTTTTTCCGTCATTGTTGCCAGTCAAGGGTAAGTTCGAATTTTAGTTGTACAAAACTTCTAACAGCCATTAAAATCCTGATCCTCCGCGATCGTCAAAATTTTAACAACTTCTATCTTTAGTTACTATTCTCTGATTGCCCCCGGCTACATCAAATCGCAAGTATACAGTATTCCTAAGCCTACATCAGTCACCGGAACCGGTAAAAATAAATATATACATCGAAGGACCTACTTATCAAATGGAGGATAATGTATTCCTAAAGCCATTCGAAAGTAAGGCCATAACATTTCGACCTCCAAAATTAACTGCTGGTCAACATCGACTAATTGTTGAGGGTGTCAGTGGCCTGAAATTTTACAATGAAAGTGAACTGATAGTATTTCCCGATGCGGGTCCGAAAATTTACATACAAACTGACAAAGCCGTGTATAAACCGGGTGATGAGGTGCAATTTCGTGTTGTGCTATTGGATGAACATACGCGACCATTGCAGATATCGGAACCGATACGTGTTGAAGTTTTGGTAGGTAAAATGGATTTTTGAAAATAGGAATGGAAAAACATTCTCTCCCTCTCTCTCTTTCCCTTTCAGGATAGCGATAGCAATCGGGTTAAGCAATTCAAAGATATCACCGTCATCAAGGGTGTCTATAAAAATAAATTTCAATTATCCCCACATCCTGTAATGGGTTCCTGGGCTATAAATGTCTATTTAAGTGGGCGTTACGATTTCCTCGTCTCTAAATCGATACGTGTTCAAAAATATCTCCTACCCAAATTCAGTGTCTACATTGAAACGAAAAGAGATATTCTACTCACAGATCCGCTAACACTGAAGGCCTTGATCTATGGCCAATACACATTTGATAAATATGTTGAGGGTCAGATTAAAACCCAGCTGGTGCAGGTGCCCAAGGATGTGGTACTCGACGAGAAAGAATTTCAAATAAAAGATTTACTCAACATTGAATTCAATCTAAACGTTACCGATATGCTACGACAAGCCTGGGGTGTGAGGCTTAACGTGGAATTGACAGAGAAATTTACGGGACAAAAACGAAATCATTCTCAATTTATTGACTTTCATGATGAGCCGTATCTGATTTATGTTCCATCGCGCAGCATTCACTTTGCCAAAGGAAAGCCGTATCAATTGACGGTAATGGTAAAAAATTGGGACCATTCAGCTGTTCAAGATAGTGTTACGCCTGTAACTATGCAACATGGAGAGAGAAATTACAGCGCCTACTTGGATACAATGGGTGAGGCAATATTTCAATTTGAACATGATCCAAATTCCGATCACATAATTCTATATGGCAACCCCACCTATAAAATGTCAAATATTTTACCCTATGAACCGTATAAGGGCAATAAAACGGAACCGGATTTAAGTTTAATGCTACTGGGAGAAAAGTAAGTAAAGGAATGTTTTATAAATTTCCCATTGGAAACTTTAATAAAATCTCAAGACCCCTTTTAGGTACACCCGTGCGGATTAATGTAACTTCCACAAAGGATATGCCATATTTGAAATATACCATTGTGGCCCATGCCAATATCATTCAAACGCAACACATCGACTTGCCAACGAAGCCTCGGAGCCACATAATAGAGATCACACCATCTATAGAAATGGTACCCTACACCTTTGTCTATGTCCACTACATCGATGAGGGCAATTACCGTTACAGTGAAATAGAATTAAATTTTCCTTTGGAATTTGAAAATAAGGTAAGATAACTTTTTCAATATTGTCAAATGTCGTGGCTTCGTATGACTTAGACGAACTGAAGGTCAGGGAGTTGGTGCAGATGTGCTGAAGGTCAGGGAGTTGGTACAGACGAGCTGGAGATCAGGGAGTCGGTATAGACTAGCTGAAGGTCAGGGAGTCGGAACATACGAGCTGAAGGCCAGGAAGTCGCCAAGGACGAACTGAAGGCCAGTGAGTCGCTATAGACGAGATCAAAGACAGGGAGTCGATATAGACGAGCTGAAGGCCAGGGAGTCTCTATAGACGAGCTGAAGGCCAGGGAGTCTCTATAGACGAGCTGAAGGTCAGGGAATCGTTTTAGATCAGCTGAAAGCCAGGGAGTCTCAATAGACGAGCTGACGGCCAGGTAGTCTTATAGATGAAGTGAATAGACGAGCAGAAGGCCAGGGAGTCTCAATAGACGAGCTGGAGGTTAGGGAGTCTCAGTAGACGAGCTGGAGGCTAGGGAGTCTCAATAGACGAGCTGGAGGCCAGGGAGTCTCTATAGACGAGCTGTAGGCCAGGGAGTCCCTATAGACGAGCTGGAGGCCAGGGAGTCTCTATAGACGAGCTGTAGGCCAGGGAGTCCCTATAGACGAGCTGGAGGCCAGGGAGTCTCCACAGACGAGCTGAAGGCCAGGGAGTCTCTATAGACGAGCTGGTGGTCAAGGGAGTCTCCATAGACGAGCTGGTGGTCCAGGGAGTCTCCATAGACGAGTTGGTGGTCCAGGGAGTCTCCATAGACGAGCTGGTTTTCCAGGGAGTCTCCATAGACGAGCTGGTTTTCCAGGGAGTCTCCATAGACGAGCTGGTGCTCCACGGAGTCTCCATAGACGAGCTGGTGCTCCACGGAGTCTCCATAGACGAGCTGGTGCTCCACGGAGTCTCTATAGACGTGCTGGTGCTCCACGGAGTCTCTATAGACGAGCTGGAGTCTCTATAGACGAGCTGGTGCTCACCGGAGTCTCTGTAGACGAGCTGGTGCTCACCGGAGTCTCTGTAGACAAGCTGCGTCGAAAATGAAAAAAAAAAAAATTAAAATGCAAAACTCTTTCCTCTCCTGCTTTCTTCTTCCCTAGGTATCCATTACGGCCCCCAAAAAAGTGAAACCCGGCGAAGAGGTAACCCTGGAACTTAAGGCTCAACCTAAATCTTTGGTTGGTGTTTTAGCTGTTGATTTGGGTGTATATCTTTTGGATCCATCCTATGAACTGAAGAAATATCATATACTCGATTCGTTGAGAAGTGATATCACTCGTATTCCGATGTTGGCTTTGGTATATCCGGGCCTTCTATCGGGTGTTATAACAATGACAAATGCTCACTATGAATTTGTACCGTTATTCTGTAAGTTTTAAGGGGGGTGGAAGGTCACAGAAGGCTTTTTAAATAAACCAGCAACCTCTCACCTTAATTTTTTGAAGGTCTTTATTAATTTTTATTAATGTGCGTGTGTTTGATTACAGTTTCAACTGATCAAAGCCCCACCGATTCTTCAGTTTTGCGTTTCCGCAAAAATTTCCCTGAAACCTGGATTTTTGAAAACTATGAAATGTAAGTCAGAAGGGAAGGAAACAATTTTTTCTCAATTTCTTTTGAAATTTCAGAACCAATGAAACCACCCATCTCACCCTAAACATACCGGATACGGTTACCACCTGGCGTGTGACAGCATTTTCGGTTAATGAAAAAACCGGTTTTGGCATTGTCGATGAACCCACACACATAACCACCGTGCAGGCGTTTTTTATCACCCTTAGCCTACCGTATGCAGTGAAACGGGGAGAAATAGTCGCCATACCCATACTAATTCACAATTATCACGAACAAAGCCTGGACACGGAAGTTAGCCTCTTCAATGATAAGGAGGGATTTTATTTCATGGAATCGACCATTTTCAATAAGGATGTGGGTTCCGAAGACAATCGACGAAGTAAAAATTTGACCTTGGGCGCCAACAGTGTTGGTACTGTGGTCTTTCTCATCAATCCCCGGCAAGTTGGTGAGATAAGTCTCCAGATCACAGCCACAAATCCTCTGTCTTCTGATGGTATTATTGAAAAACTTCGTGTGGAACCGGAGGGTATTCGGATTGATGTTAATCATGCCGTATTTACCAGTGTGGTCCCCAATGAACCCATTGAGATGACCATACCCCTAAACATCTCCGGCGAAAAGGTGCCCCATTCGGAATTTATTACGCTGACAGTGGTGGCAGATAACATGGCTCCCGTTTTACTCAATCTAAATGATTTGCTAAGCCTTCCCACCGGTTGTGGAGAACAGAATATGGCAAATTTTGCTCCGAACGTGCTAGTTCTGCAATATCTCAGGTCAATGGGCCAGTATCACAAGGAACGCGATTTGGTGGCCAAAGCCAGGCGTTACATTGAAGTTGGTTTCCAGCAGCAATTGACATATCGCCACCGGAATGGGGGGTACAGTGTTTTTGGCCAGCGCAAGGATAGAGAAGCCAGTACCTGGTTGACAGCCTATACCATGAGATTCTTCATCAAGTCTTTGAGGTATACCATGGCCATGGAATCGCACATCATTGAAAGTGGCCTGGACTATTTGGCAAAGGCCCAGGGCGAAGATGGCAGTTTCCCCTATACCGGCTATCTGATATATCCGGCCCAGCAGAATCGTTTTGGATTTACGGCATTTGTTTTGATGGCATTTTTGGAAGATCAGGTAAGTGGCCTCAATTTTGGTCATTTTTTAGCGCCCTATCTCCAGAGGTCCAAATTAATCTTTTCCAATTTCAGAAATTTGCCCGCAACTACTCCACCACAATTGACAAGGGCCTGGCGTTCCTAAATGATCATTTCGATCAGATCAACGATGTTTATGCCCTCTCCATAATGGCTGTGGCCATGCAAATGGCCAAACAAAAATCGAATTCCAAAAAAATCCTGGATAAACTACTACAACAAAAACAAACGGACAATTCGACCATTTGGTGGAGTCAAAATGATCGGAATCGAGCCAAGGATGTTGAAATAACGGGATACGTATTATTGGCATTGATAGAGGATGGCGATTATGAGGAAGCTTGCAAAAAGGCCTTCAAATGGTTAAACCAACAGCGCAATAAAAAAGGTGGATTTAAATCTAGTCAGGACACCGTGGTCGGACTTCAGGCCTTGATCAAATACTCAATGAAATATAAGATCACTGGGGACGTAGATATCTTGGTCAGCTATACAGCTATGGATGGTGAGATGCAGGAAGTCAAGAGTGGCGAAATAGCTGTGGACGAGAATAATGTAAAAGTCTTACAAAGCGAAGAGGTAAGTGAGTCGAAGAAGGCGCGGTAAAAGGGAATTGAAAAGAGGGATTTATAGAGACAGGCGAAGACAGGCGAAGCGGACTAAAACCTAGGGATTCGGTATAGACAGAAGCCCGGGGAGTCTTTATCGACGTGCTGGTGGTCAGGGATTCGATATAGGCGAACTGAAGGCCTGGGCGTCGATATAGACCAGCTGAAGGCCAGGGAATCGTTTAAGACGAGCTGAAGGTCAGGGAGTCTCTATAGACGAGCTGAAGTCCAAGGAGTCGCCATAGATAGGCTGAAGGCCAGGGAGTCAGTATAGAAGAGCTGAAGGCCTTGGAGTCTCTATATACAAGCTAAAGGCCAGGGAGTCTCAATAGACGTGCTGAAGGGCAGGGAATCGCTATAGACGAGCTGAAGGCCAGGGAGGCGCTATAGACGAGCTAGTGGTCAGGGAGTCTCTATAGACGAGCTGGTGGTCCAGGGAGTCTCTATAGACGAGCTGGTGGTCCAGGGAGTCTCTATAGACGAGCTGGTGGTCCAGGGAGTCTCTATAGACGAGCTGGTGGTCCAGGGAGTCTCTATAGACGAGCCGGTGGTCCATGGAGTCTCTATAGACGAGCCGGTGGTCCAGGGAGTCTCTATAGACGAGCTGGTGGTCCAGTGAGTCTCTATAGACGAGCTGGCGGCCCAGGGAGTCTCTATAGACGAGCTGGCGGCCCAGGGAGTCTCTATAGACGAGCTGGCGGCTCAGGGAGTCTCTATAGACGAGCTGGCGGCCCGGGGAGTCTCTATACACGATTATAGACGAGCTGGTGGTCCAGGGAGTCTTTATAGACGAGTTGGTGGTCCAGGGAGTCGTTATAGACGAGCTGCTGGTCCAGGCTATCTCTATAGACGGCTGCTGGTCCAGGGAGTCTCTATAGACGAGCTGGTGGTCCAGGGAGTCTTTATAGACGAGCTGGTGGTCCAGGGAGTCTTTATAGACGAGCTGGTGGTACAGGGAGTCTTTATAGACGAGCTGGTGGTCCAGGGAGTCGCTATAGACGAGCTGGTGCTCAGGTAGTCGCTATAGACGAGCTGGTGCTCAGGGAGTCTCTAGAGACGAGCTGGTGCTCAGGGAATCTCTAGAGACGAGCTGGTGCTCAGGGAGTCTCTAGAGACGAGCTGGTGCTCAGGGAGTCTCTAGAGACGAGCTGGTGCTCAGGGAGTCTCTAGAGACGAGCTGGTGCTCAGGGAGTCTCTAGAGACGAGCTGGTGCTCAGGGAGTCTCTAGAGACGAGCTGGTGCTCAGGGAGTCTCTAGAGACGAGCTGGTGCTCAGGGAGTCGCTATAGACGAGCTGGTGGTCCAGCGAGTCGCTATGGACGAGCTGGTGGTCCAGCGAGTCGCTATGGACGAGCTGGTGGTCAGGATGTCATTATAGAAGATTTAATGATCGGTGAGTTGGTACAGTGGGGTTTTTGGCCAAGGAATCGGTACAGCTAGGTAAGAGGTTCTGAAAGGGGCTCTGTATACAGTCTGGGAGTCTGCGAGTTTTATTTCCCCAAAATTTAATTCTTTTACTCGTTTTTCTTCCTTTCCTTTCAGCTACCCCAAACAACACGTGCGGTGGAAATTCAAGTCACCGGCTTGGGCGCTTCTCTGATTCAATTGACCTATGAATATTACATAATGGGTGTTGAAACATTTCAATATTTCCGAATAGAACCCAAAGTGGAATTACCAAATCCTGGAGAAATGTCGCTGGACATTTGTTTTAGCTACATCGAACCTAATGCAACGGCCACAAATATGGTTGTAATGGAGATCAATCTGCCATCGGGATTTAGTGTCAACGAAGAAGATAGCGACTTTTTGTTGGATAATGAAATTGTGCAAAGAATTGAAATGAAAAATTCTGCAACGAACATTGTGGTTTATTCGGAAAAACTCCAGCCAAATGTTCGGAATTGTCTAAATATTATGGCCTACAAAATGTACGATGTGGTGCATCGGAAACCGGCTTCGATTATTATTTACGATTATTATGATTTTTATCGTTATGACACGGCATTTTATGATATTTATAATGAAACCCCTCAGGATGGTGGTGGTACTGGACCTGGGGTCAGAGGGCTTTGAAGTGGGGAGAGAGAGAAGCAAGGCTTTCTTCTTTGAAATGTAAAGCAAATGTTTTGTAACGAAAATAAAAAAAGGAAGAATTTTAGAAAACAATGCTCTTTTTCTTTTCTGGGGACACTACGAAAAATAAGGGTAAGGGTAGGTCTTAGCAGTGGATGTTTTACGAAATTATTTCTAATATCTCTGAAATCGATATTTTTTAAAAATATATTTTTGAGAATTGTAGAGGCTATAATTGTGCATTTCTAGGAATATTCGAGGCGATTGTTAACAAGTAAAAAAGCAGTAAGTTCGGCAAGGCCGAATATTGAATACCCTCCACCATTTGGAATGAATTTGGCAATTTTCAAAAAAATAAATTCCGTTAAAAATTCTGTTAAAATCTTAAAACCGTTATATTGGGGTCAATACGAAGACGTGAACCTGCAAAGCCAACTTTTGTTATGAGCCATTACAATATTAAAATACGAAATTTAAAAAAAAATCCGGTGAATAATGTAGCTAAAGTCATCAAAATACTGTTATATGGGGCCAAAACGTTGACCTGCACAGACAATGTTCTGTCATAGGCTGTAGTATCCATTACGAACTTCAAATACCAAATTTGAAACAATTCCGGTGAATAATGTCGCTAAAATCATCAAAATACCGAATATTGGGAGGTACCGACATATGGGGCTTATACGTAGACGTTAGGCTGCATACGCACTTTTTTGTCATAGGCTGTAGTACCCGTTACGAGTGCTAAATACGAAATTTTAAACAATTCCGGTGAAAAATATCGCTAAAGTCATCATAATACCGAATATCGGGAGGTACCGTTATATGGGGGCTATATGAAGACGTGGACCTGTACAGACAATTTTCTGTCTTAGACTGTAGTATCCATTGCGAACTTCAAATACCAGATTTGAAACAATTCCGGCGAATAATGTCGCTAAAATCATCAAAATACCGAATGTCGGGAGGTACCGTCATATGGGGGCTATACGAAGACGTGGACCTGCGCAGACAATTTTCTGTCATAGGCTGTAGTATCTATTAAGAACTTCAAATACTAAATTTAAAACAATTCCGGCGAATAATGTCGATAAAATCATCAAAATACCGAATATCGGGAGGTACCATTATATGGGGGCCATACGAAGGCGTGGACCTGCACAAACAATTTTCCGTCTTAGGCTGTAATATCTATTACGAACTTCAAATACCAAATTTTAAACAATTCCGGTGAATAATGTCAATAAAATCATTAAAATACCGAATATCGCGAGGTACAGGTATTTTGACCCTTTGTGGGAGAAGTCCCAGAAGGAGTGGACCGATATGTTTCGTCTTCACACCAGACCATGGATCAACAAAAATATTGTGATGTGTGTAATTTAAAGAGAACCGGAGTCTTATTTCGGATTTTATGATCGTTTTTGTTATTCAAATATATGACCCTTTGTGGGGGAAGTACCAGAAGGAGTGTTCCGATCTCTACCATCGTTATGAGAGATCTTGTGTTGATAGAAATATTGAAATGTGCCAAATTTGAATTGAATCGGATATTAATTTCGCATTTTAAGAGCTTCATGCATATTCAAAATTTTGACCCTTTGTGGGGGAGGTACTTGATGGAGTGGACCGATATTGTCCATTTTCGCATCTGACCTAGCATTGATACAAATATTAGGATTCGAAATGTTGGAGCAAAATCATTTCTCTTTTTGTGCAAAAAATATTTTTTGAAAATTTCGACCTTTTGTGGGGGAGGTACCAGAAGGATTAGACCGATATATTCCATCTAAACACCAGACCTTGGGTTAATAAAAATATTGTGATCTGTATAATTTGGAGATAATCGGACTCTTATATCACATTTTATAAGAGTTATAATTATTTAAAATATTAACCCTTTGTGGGGAGGTACCAGAAGGAGTGGACCTATATTGTCCATTTTCGCACCTGACCTAGCATTGATGAAAATATTGGGATTTGCAATGTTTGAGCTAAAACGGATTATCCTTTCTCGTTCGGTTCAGTAAATTATTTTCTTTCAAAATGTTAAACCTTTGTGGGGGAGGTACTAGAAGGAGTGAACCGATATTGCCCATCTCCGAACTCGATCTAAGTTTGACAAAAATATTACGATGTATCAAGTTTGAACTAAATCGGATACTCCCTTCGAGAGTTATTGTGCGCACCAGCCAGACAGACGGACGGACATCGCTAGATCGACTCCACATGTCCTGAAACGGATTTGGTCCAAAGGAGTGGACCGATATTGTCCATTTTCACACTGGACCTAGTACTGACGCAAATACAGCGTTTGAGCAAAATCGGATTATCGTTTCTCTTTCTGTGCAAAAAATATATATTTTTTTAAATTTCGACCATTTGTGGGGGAGGTACCAGAAGGAATGGGCCGATATATTCTATCTTAACATCAAACCTTGGGTTAACATAAATATTGACATGTGTGAAATTTGAAGAAAGTCGGACTCTTTTATCACATTTTATAAGAGTTGTAATTATTCAAAATTTTGACCATTTTTGGGGCAGGTACTTGATGGAGTGGACCGATATTGTCCATTTTCACACTTGACCTAGCACTCACGAAAATATTAAGATTTGCACAGTTGGAGCAAAATCGGATTATCGTTTCTCTTTCTGTGCAAAAAATATTTTTTTTTGGAAATTTTGTGGGGGAGGTACCAGAAGGAGTGGACCGATATTGCCCATCTCCGAACTCGATCTAAGTTTGACAAAAATATTACAATGTACCAAGTTTGAACTAAATCGGATACTCCCTTTCAGAGTTATCGTGCGCACCATCCAGCCAGCCAGACAGGCATAGCTAGATCGACTCCAATTGTCCTGAAACGGATTTGGTCCAAAGAGACCTAGGGTCTATAACCTTTATTTCGACTAGGCACGTTTTGACCGTATCAAATGATATACACCCTCTCTAGCCATATGGCTGACGGTATAAAAAGACGTAGTCGAAAATTTTACATAACACCAATTAGTTAAGACAACACCTACGACTACGACAACGAAATTGGGTTTTCGGCTACATCAGCATCTGCTGAAATAGCCTTTTCCTATGCTGGTTCTTTTATAACCGAAAAGCGATGCCGCTTCGTTCGTCTTGGACTCCTTATTCAGCTCGTCTCGAAATGACCTATTAACCCTATTTGAAGACAACATTTTTTAGGTCATATGTGGGTCGAGGCTCCGATTTGAACGAGGTTATTGAACTACCTTTTTTCATTAATAAATATATATATTATCAACCTTGGGAATTCCATCGCGATAACAACACAACGTTGGCAGATGGGAAATGGAAAGTCGATGGGAATTACGCGTATATTTATATCATCCACGGATCCTCTCTCATGGCAAAAACTATTGAGGAGCTACTCAAAACGTGTGTTGCAAATAACAACTACAGCTAAAAGAGACCTTCTAATCATCGACAACAATGTTCTGGGTTACGAAGGTTCGCTCACTCGCCCTTAGTCGATATTTCAAAACAATTTATTGATTATTTCAATTGTCTTACTCTAATAAAATATAACGGAAAGAAGATCTAATCTATTAGTTGTGCATCTGCATCGGCGGACATCGGTAGTAAGCCTCGAAAAATTATTTAAATCAAAATGCGATATTTCCTGTTAAATATAGCTCTTCTGCTCGGCAGTGTAATATTTGTTGCAAGTCAGGGGTAAAGTGTGGATTTTCCGCTTTTCTTCAATAAATTTCGTTGCAATTCAAGACCTCTGAAAACCTGTTGGTTCCGATTTCCCTAAATAAATTTCGTTGCAATTCAAGACCCCTGAAAACCTGTGGTTCCGATTTCCTTAAATAAATTTTGTTGCAATTCAAGACCCCTTAAAAGTAGTTTTTTATTTAACTTTCCTGAATTTGTTTAACCTCCTCGCATTACCTTCTTCCACTCTCCCCAGCTACTATTCGGTACTTGCCCCCGGACACATTCAATCGAACCGCAACTATACCGTACTTGTGACCATACATCAATCCCCGGAACCGGTAAAAGTCAACGTGACCATTGAAGGACCCACGTTTGAGATTCATGAAGAAGTGTTCTTGAATCCGTTTGAAAGTAAGGCCATAACCATTTTACCACCAAAATTAACCGATGGTGAACATAAGCTAATTGTACAGGGCGTAAGTGGTCTACGATTTTACAATGAAAGTGAGCTAATCGAAATTGTCGATGCTGGCCCAACCGTTAATATACAAACTGATAAAGCCGTATATAAACCGGGTGATTTGGTGCAATTTCGTGTGGTCCTGATGGATGAACATACCAGGCCATTGAAAATACCAGAGCCAATTCGTGTTGAAATCACTGTAAGTGGACAAGTTTAGAAATCTATAAGTTGTGGTCTACCTATGATCAATGTCGAATTCCATGAAATCATTCAGTTTTAGACTTAGAGATGATATGATAAGCGCATTTCGGCGGAATCTCCTCTCCTTTACGTATAAACATCTCGTTTCATGATATTAGTTTTATGTAGGCCGGGGAAAAATTCTGGAACCAATTACAAATCCCTTTTTTAAATCAAATTTCTTTTTATACCCTCAGCTATATGGCTACAGATACGGCCAAAATGTGCCCAGTCGAAATAACGGTTTTAGACCCTAGGTCTCTTTGGGCCAAATCCGTTTCAGGACATTTGCAGTCGATCTAGCGATTTCCGTCCTTCCATCCGTGTGTTTGGTTGGCTGGTGCGTATGATAACTCTCGAAGGAAGTATCCGATTTGATCCGAACTTGGAACATCGCAATATTATTGTCAAACTTATATAGAGTTCGGAGATGAGCAATATCGGTCCACTCCTTCTGGTACCTCCCCCACAAACATTTTCGAGGAAAATAATTTACTGCACGGAACAGGGAAAGGATACTCTGATTTTTCTCCAACTTTGCAAATCCTAATATTTGCATCAGGCGCGAAAATGGACAATATCGGTCCACTCCATCAAGTACCTCCCCCACAAAGGGTCAAAATTTAAAAAAGTCCGATTGTCTTCAAATTACACACATCACAATATTTTTATTAACCAAAGCCCAACCCATCAAAAGGTCGAAATTTTCAAAAAATATATTTTACGGAACAGAAAGAGAACGGATAGTCCGAATTTGTTAAAACTTTGCAAATTCTCATATTTGCATCAGCCTTAAGTCAGGTGCGAAAATCGACAATATTGGTCAACCCCATCAAGTACCTCCCCCACAAAACCAAAACTCTTATAAAATATGGTATAAGAGTCCGATTGTCTTCAAATTACACACATCACAATATTTTTATTAACCAAAGCTCTGGTGTAAAGCTGAAAAATCTCGGTCCACTCCTTCTGGTACCACCTCACCCCCCAAAAGGTCGAAATTTTAAAAAAATATATCTTACTGCACAGAAAGAGAAAGGATACTCTGATTTTGTTCCAACTTTGCAAATCCTAATATTTGAATCAGCCTTAAGTCAGGTGCGAAAATCGGCAATATTGGTCAACCCCATCAAGTACCTCCCCCACAAAGGGTCAAAATTTTGAATAATTATTACTCATATAAAATGTGATGTTAGAGTCCGATTGTCTTCATACTTCACACATCCCAATATTTTTGTAAACACAAGATCGGCTGTGAAGATGGAATATATCGGTCCACTTCTTTGGGTAACTCCCCCACAAAGGGTCAACATTTTGAATATCAACGGAGCTCATAAAACGCGAAATTAAAATTCGATTCCGTTCAGACTTGGCACATCTCAACATTTCTATCAATACTAGATCTGTCATAAAGATGGTAGAGATCGAACCATTCCTTCTGGTACCTCCCTCACAAAAGGGTCAAAGTTTGGAATAACCAAAACGTTTATAAAATCCGAAATAAACATCGGGTCCGGTTCATATTTCACACATCCCATTACTTCTACTAATACAAGATATGCTGTTAAGATGCGATACATCGGTCCACTCCTACTGGTACCTCCCCCAGAAAGGGTCAAAATTTTGAATATCCATGTAGCACATAAACGGGAAATTAACATCCGATTCCATTCCATACTTGGTGCATCTCAATATTTCTATCAACACTAGATCTGTTATAAAGATGGTAGAGATCGAACCTGTCCTGCTGGTACCTACCCCACAAAGGGTCAAAATGTTCAATACCCACTGAGCTCATAAAACGGGAAATTAACATTCGATTCCATTCAGATTTGCTACATGCCAATATTTCCATCAACACAAAATCTGTTATAAAGATGGTAGAGATCGAACCATTCCTGCTGGTACCTACCCCACAAAGGGTAAAAAATTTGAATAACCAAAACGATCATAAAATCCGAATAAGGATCCGGTTTTCTTCAAACTATGCTCATTACAATATTTTTTAACAAAAGATCTGGTGTGAAGATGTGATATATCGGGTTACACCTTCAAGTACCTTCCCCACAAAGGGTCATAATTTTGAGCTCTTAGAACGAAAATAACGTCCTATTTCATTCAGATTTGGTACATGCTAATATTTCCTTCAAGGCAAGATCTGGTGTAAAAATGGTAGAGATCGGACCATTTCATCGGGTACCCCCGCCCCCACTTAAGATTCAAGGTTAGAAAAAAACAAGTAAAAATGCTGTAAGTTCGGCCGGGCCGAACCTTGAATACCCTCCACCATTTGGTAAAAATTTAAAAATTTTCAAAAAAAATAAAATCTGTTAAAAATTCTGTTAAAATCTTAAAAAATATCGAATGTAGCCGTATATTAGGGTCCAAACGACGACGTGGACCTGCATAGGCAACTTTTGTCACAGGCTATTACAATATTCAAATGCGAAACTTGAAAAAAAATATTTTTATAATGTAGCTAAAATCATCAAAATACCGAATATAGGGAGGTACCATGGGGGTTATAAAACGTGGACCTGCACAGACAATTTTCTGTCTTAGGCTGTAATATCTATTACGAACTTTAAATACAAAATTTGAAATAGTTCCGGTAAATAATGTCGCTGAAATCATCAAAATACCGCATATCGGGAGGTAGCGTTATATGGGGGCTATACGAAGACGTGGACCTACATGGCCTATTTTCAATACCAAAAGTCCTGCAGACATAATACACATTTGAGTAAAGTTTTCTCAACCTACTTCATTTCGTTCGGAAGCTAGAGTGATTTCTACAGACGGACGGGCGGACATTGATAAATCGACATAGAATTTTATGCTGATCAAGAATAAATGTACTTTGTGGGGTCTAAAATGTATATTTCGAGGTGTTACAAACGGAATGACAAAGTTAATATACTCTCCTTTCCAAGGTGGAGGGTATAAAAATCGAACATTGGCTGAGGGTATACATCTGTCGGCAAAACCGACTGATATTATTTTACTTTTTTTTTAATTTTCTTCCCCCTTTTCCAGGATGGCATCAATAACCGTGTTAAACAATTCAAAGATATCAGCTTCGTTAAGGGTGTCTATAAAAATCAATTTCAACTATCCGAATATCCTGTGATGGGCGTATGGCACATTCGTGTCCATATAAGTGGTCGTTATGATTTGGTCTCCTCGAAATCGATAAAAGTTCAACGATATCTCTTACCGAAATTTAGTGTTTACGTCGAAACGGATCGGAATATTGTACTTGGCGATCAGATGACAGTACAGGCTTTGATCTATGGTCAATATACTTTTGAAAAATATGTTGAGGGTCAGGTGAAATTGCGTTTAGTGCAGGACCCTGAGAAAATTGTCCTCGAAGAAAGAGTAATGCAAATCAAAGATCTACTCAATCTTGGAATTCAACTGAACAATAGCGAATTGCTGCGAGAAGCATATGGTATCAATATGGAGGTGGAGCTGAGAGAAAAATTCACCCAACAAATAAGTAGTGAAAAAATATATATCCATATTCATGAATATCCCTACCAGATATCTGTTTTGCCCGAGACTATCAAGTTTGCCAAGGGTAAACCATATCAGTTGACAGCCAAGGTTAGGGATTGGAACGATTTGCCCTTGATGGATGATATACCTTTAATTATGGAACATGGAAGCAGAAATTATAGTGTGCCCCTGGATGCAAATGGTGAGGCAACATTTCAATTTGAACATGAACCAAGTTCGGATCATACTTTTTGGTATGGCAATGTTACCTATCTGTGGGGAAATATTTTTGCCTATGAACCCTATACGGGTAATGTAACCGATCTGCCGTTGACATTAGAGCTATTGACGGAAAAGTAAGTAACTTCTACTGATATTATCATGCATATCTTTCTATTTCCTTTTTTTACGCAAGGCCCCAATTTGGCAGCCCAGTGAGAATTCAAGTGACATCTTTAAAAGGAATGCCTTATTTGGTCTACACCATTGTGGGCCATGCCAATTTTATTCATACCGAACACATTAAGCTACCCACAAACTCCAGGACCCATATTCTGGAGATTATACCGTCCATAGCAATGGTGCCCAATGCCTTCGTCTATGTCCACTACATCGATGGAGGAAATTTACGCTATAGTGAAATTCGAATTAAATTTCCATTGGAATTTGAAAATAAGGTAAGATTTAAATACTTTTTTTTTGACATCTCCGATACAGGGGCAAATTTTGTTTTTCAAATTTATTTTCCTAATTTTTTTTTTCAAAATTATCCATTTGATAACGTCTCATTGCCAAAATTTATATTTATGAACCCATTGTATACACAGAAATCAGAGACGGGTTACCAATTTTTTATTCTGTGAAATTTGACAGGTTAAATTACAGAAAATACAGAGATGGATAGTCTTATTTGACTTTACCTTCTTAATCATACCCTCAGCCATATGGCTACAGAAGGTATATATCATTTGATTAGGTCAAAACGTGACTCGAAATAGCGGTTTTAGACCCTAGGTCTCTTTGGACCAAATCCATTTCAGAACATTTGGAGTCGATCTAGCGATGTCAGTCCGACCGTCCATCAGTCTGTCTGGCTGGCTGGTGTGCACGATAACTCTCGAAGGGAGTATCCGATTTGGTCCAAATTTGGTACAACGTAATATTTTTGTCAAACTTAGATCGAGTTTGGATATGGGCAATATCGGTCCACTCCTTCTGGTACCTCCCCACAAAAGATCGATATTTCCAAAAAAAAAAAAAAAATATTTTTTGCACAGAAAGAGAAACGATAATACGATTTTTTTCCAACTTTGCAAATCTTAATATTTGCGTCAGTGCTAGGTCAAATGTGAAAATGGACAATATCGGTCCACTCCATCTGGTACCTCCCCCACAAATGGTCAAAATTTTGAATAATTACAACTCTTATAAAATGTGATATAAGAGTCCGATTGTCTTCAAATTTCACACATGCCAATATTTATGTTAACCCAAGGTCTGATGTTAAGATGGAATATATCGGTCCACTCCTTCTGCTACCTCCCACACAAATGATTGAGATTTTCAAAAAATATATATATATATTTTCTGCACAGAAAGAGAATCGATAATCGGACTTTGTTCCAATTTTGCAAATCCTGATATTTACGTCAGTTCTAGGTCAGGTTCAAAAATGGACAATATCGGTCCACTCCATCAAGTACCTCCCCCACAAAGGTCGAAATTTTGAACATCCATCAAGCTCTTAAAACACTAAAATAACATCCGATTCCATTCAGACTTGGCACATCTCAATATTTTCATAAACGCAAGATCTTTTATAAAGATGGTAGATATCGGACCACTCCTTCTGGTACCTCCCCAAAAAAAGAACCAAAAATTTGAGTATCCATGAAGCTCATAAAACGCAAAATTAAGAATCAGACTTGTATGATGTAAGGGACCGATTGTCTTCAAATTTCACATATCCCAATAATTTTAGTAACCCAAGGTCCGGTGCCAAGATGGAATTCATCGGTCCACTCCTTCTGGTACCTCCCCACAAAGGGTCAACATTTTAAGTATCCATGAAGCTCGTAAAACGCAAAATTATCATCCGATTCTATTCAGACTTGGAGCTTCTTAATATTTTCACCAACACAAGATCTGTTATAAAGATGGTAGAGATCGGACCTTTTTTTCTGGTACCTCCCCACATAGGGTTCAAGATTTAAAAAAAAAAACCTCAAGGAATTCCAAAAAAGCATACAAATGCATCCATACATCTCCTCAAATTTCCCACATACAGACATTATTTCTAGCACAAGATCAGTTGTGAAGATGATATACATCTGCCAACTTATAACTGTCATAACTTGCGAAACAAGTCAACGATTCTTTAAAACTTGCTATATCTAAATATTTCTCTTAACCAGTATTCTGATATGAATATGTAATTTGTCGGAATTTACGAATTCGCATAAAATTGGATACGAATGTTCGATTTCCTTCAAATTTTGCACGTACCAATTTATTTTATCTGTATTAGATGAAGTATGAAAATGTAATACTTCGGTCCGCTATATCTGTTACCTGACGCATATTTCCATTTTCCGAAAATGTGCACATATCTCATATAAAGTACAAGAAGTAGTCGATATAGTCAAAATCTGTCACGTTCATATCTCAAGGCTGAGAGTATACATCTGTCGGCAAAACTGACTAAAACTATTTTACTTGTTTACATTCAGGATGAGATGAAAACAAGTAAAAAAGCTGTAATATCGGCCGGGCCGAATTTTGAATACCCTCCACCATTTATAACAAATTTGGAAATTTTCAAAAAAAAAAAAAAAAAAAAAGTTAAAAATTCTGTTAAAATCTTAAAAATACCGAATGTTGCTGTCATATAAGGGTCTATACGACGATATGGACCTGCATAGGTAATATTTGTCATATGCCATTACAATATTCAAATGCGAAACAATGTAGCTTAAATCATCAAAATACCGAATATCGGGAGGTACCATTGTATGGGGGCTATACGAAGACGTGGACCTGCACAGACAATTTTCTGTCTTAGGCTGTACTATCCATTACGAACTTCAAATACCAAATTTGAAACAATTCCGGTGAATAATGATGCTAAGATCATCAAACTACCGAAAATCGGCAGGTACCGTTATATGGGGGCTCTACGAAGACGTGGACCTGCACAGACAATTTTCTGTTTTAGGCTTTAGTATCCATTATGAACTTCAAATACCAAGTTTGAAACAATTTCGGTGAATAATGTCGCTAAAATCCTAAAAATACCGAATATAAAGAGGAGCCGTTGTATGGGGCTATACGAAGACGTGGACCTGCACAGACAATTTTCTGTCATAGGCTGTAGTGTCCATTACGAACTTAAAATACCTAATTTGAAACAATTCCCGTAAATAATGTCCCTAAAATCATCAAAATACCGAACATCGGTACCGTTATATGGGGGCTATACCAAAACGTGGACCTACATGGCCCATTTTCAATACCAAAAGTCCTGCAGACATAACATACATTTGAGTGAAATTTTATCAATCTACTTCAATTCGTTCGGAAGCAAGAGTGATTTCCACAGAAGGATAGACGGACAGACGGACGGACATAGCTAAATCGACATAGAATTTTATGCTGATCAAGAATATATACGTATATTTTGTGGAGTCTAAAATGTGTATTTCGAGGTGTTACAAACGGAATGACGAACTTAATATACCCTCCATACTATGTATGGTGGAGGGTCTTCAAACGGACACGCTACCCGAATTTTGCTCTGCGGTATTTTGGTTCATTCCCGGCGAAACGCTTGCTTGAGCTGATCGACACTTTGGTATTTTTTAGTGCTAACCTTGCTTTTCAAAATACTCTAGACGCAATAGTCCAACGGATTGGTATCCAGAGATTTTGGTGGCCATTGTGGGCTGGAAATGAAGCGTGGAACCTCATTTTGTAACCATTCTTGGGTGGCGCGTGCTGAGTGCGATGGTGCTGAGATCCTGTTGAAATGTCCAAGTTCTGCGGCCAAAATGTTTGCGTGCTCAAGGCTTTAATACACCGCGAGATAGACCCATAGTTACTTTTGAGGATCTTCATAGAATCACTTTCTGAGTTGATTTATGCATGTCAGTCCGTCTGTCCATGTATTCTTGTGAACAAAATGTAGGTCGCATTTATTATCCGATTGAGATGAAATTTTCCAAACAACATTTTTTGGCCCAAGAACGAACCCTATTGAAATTGGAGATAATCGGTAAAAATTTAGATATAGCTCCCATATATAACTTCGTCCGATTTACCTTTTATTGTGCACCAAACGTCTAATATTTGCCCAAATGGGATGGAATTTGGCACATACGACCGAATTGAGTCTAGAAGCTAGTATGCCAAATTTGGTGAAGATCGGTTCAGATATAGCTATAGCTCCCATATATATTGTTCATCCGATTTGTTTGTATTTGTTACCCACAGCCGTAATATGCACTCCGTAACAACGATATTCAGGGAAATATATCAAATACAGCTCAGAAATATCTTTGCCAAATTTTATCGAGATCGGTTCAGATTGGGATATAGCTCCCATATATATCTTTATCCGATTTCAAATTATTTTTGCACCAAATGGGCAATACAAGTTCGAAGTTAAAAGATACAAATGCTTCGGCAAATTTAGTCATTTGAACTTTAAATAATAATTATAATCATAGCGTGATTGATTAAATTCTCCTCTTTGCTCTACTAAATTGGCAAAGTGGAGTAGGGTATCATAAAGTCGGCCCCGCCCGACTTTAGGGCTTTCTTTACTGGTTTGAGTTTATTTTCTTTTTGTTGTGGTGTAAGATCTTGCACTTTTTGGAATTTCAGTGGCTTTACCCCGAGCTCATTTTTCAATATTTGCCGAATGGAATATTGCGATATGTTCAGCTCACGAGCCATTTTTCGGCCACTGCGACGCGGGTTTCGATCAAGTCGCCTCTTTACTTTTCGAACCATTTCTGCTAACGTTGCTGTTTTCTATCGTCCACTTCCTTGACGTCGGACTAAGCTACCAGTATCACGGTAACGAGCGATGGTACGAGACACAAAATATTTAAATGCTGGAGTGCCCTAACGATAGCCACTTGCGGTTTTCCAGCCAAATATAAAGAAATCACACTATCACGCTTGAATTCCATCACGAATAACTTTTTTTCTGGAAAATTCTCACCAAATTGCCTTTGTACGCTTGTAAACAATATAATGAGCTGTCACTGCAAAAATTTTAACAGCTGTCGGACGAGTGGCTTAGAAATGACAGCAGTCTGAAGTTGATTGCAGTTTTCTTCATCTGACCCTGTAGAAGGCTTTTTTAATGGCTTGGAGGTGAAAATATGTAAAATGTTTTTTTTTTTTTGACTGGCTTATGTCATCGGCTGGCTTCTTCGTAGAGGAATAAAGGAGTTTTGTGTTGATCCTAAAGGAGCTATAGGTTGACTTATTTCAATTTCATTCCATAGTTTATACTTTTTAATCATTCGCTCCTTTGTTCTTTTACGAAGAAGCCAGTAGATGACTTAAGCCAGTAAAGACATTATATGTATTCTCATCTTAAGGCTCATTCCACCACTGTCACTAACCTTCTTGTATTCGAAATCTGCCCTATCTACTTACCGTTTGCCGGCTTTTATGTTCGTGGACCATTTCCATTTGGCTTCCCTACAGATTCCCCACTCAGATTTAACAATTAACACTAAATTCCTCTCATTCTCCTTAGGTTTCGATTATGGCGCCCAAACAAGTTAAACCAGGTGCAGAGGTAAACCTAGAAGTGAGGGCCCAGCCAAAATCTCTAGTTGGTATCTTAGCTGTGGATTTGGGTGTTTATCTCTTAGATCCTTCATATGATTTCAAGAAAGAAAAAATGCTTGAGGCATTGCAGGAGGACACCAGTCGTCTGCCGTTTTTGGCTTTGGTATATCCGGGTCTTATGTCGGGCGTACTTACACTAACAAATGCCCATTATGAATTTGTGCCCTTACAAGGTGAGTCAGACAAGCCCTTTTCTACATTCTTATATGATTTCCACATTTTTTGTAGTCGATAATAGAAAATTACCAGATCCGCTGGGAGAGCTTACATTTCGTAAAAATTTCCCCGAAACCTGGATTTTTGAAAATTATGAAATGTAAGTAAAAAAGGAGAATCCTTCAGGACATAAAATTGATATTTAAAACTATTGATTATTTTTGCAGAACAAATGATACCACCCAACTCACCCTGAATATACCGGACACAGTTACCACATGGCGTGTAACGGCATTTACAATGAACGAGAAAACCGGTTTTGGTATAGTAGATGGTCCCACAGATGTAACCACCATACAACCGTTCTTCATTAGCCTCAACCTACCGTATTCTGTGAAACGTGGCGAAATTGTTGCCATACCCATCCTCATACACAATTACCAAAACCGCAGCTTGGATACCGAAATTACCCTCCTCAATTCGAATAATGAATTCTATTTTATGGAATCGACAATACTCAACACGGAAACGGGGTCTTCGGAAAAAGGACGAACCAAAAATATAACCATGCCAGCGAATAGTGTTGATACGGTTACATTCTACATAAGTCCACGGCTGGTTGGTGACATTAAACTTAGGATCACAGCCACAAATTCTATGGCGTCAGATGCCATAATCGATACGCTTCGTGTCCAACCAGAGGGTATAAGACAGGAATTCAATAATCCCCAATACATCAGTGTGATACCCAGTGAACCTATAGAGTTATCATATCCCCTATCCCTGCCAGCCAATATGGTTCCGCAATCGGAGTTCATTACCCTCACAGTGGTGGGCGATGACATGGTCCCCGTTTTACTCAATCTAAATTATTTACTCTACCTTCCCACCGGTTGTGGTGAGCAGAATATGGCAAATTTTGCCCCGAATGTCCTCGCCTTACAATATCTGCGGTCAACGGGTCAATATCACCGCGAAGCAAAGCTGGTGGCCAAAGTCAAGCGCAACATTGAAGTTGGCTATCAACAACAATTGACATATCGCCACAACAATGGTGGCTACAGTGTCTTTGGCCAGCGTAAAGATTTCGAAGCCAGTACCTGGCTGACGGCGTATACCGTACGTTTCTTTATAAAAACCTTAAAATATGCCATGGCCATTGAAAAGCATATCATTGAAACGGGTCTGCATTATTTGGCAACGGCCCAGCGTGACGATGGTAGTTTTCCCTATACCGGTTATTTACTTTATCCCGCACAGCAGAATCGTTTTGGATTTACGGCTTTTGTGCTGATGACATTTCTGGAGGATGAGGTGAGTCGAGTTTTATTAATGAGCTGCCTATTACCCTGTTGCAGAACCTGCAAGAATGTAAGGGTGTTACTACGATATCCGATTTTTCCATTATGCATGCTCTGGAGCAGAGCACATATGAGTTTTACAGAAGAATTGTTTGACAAGGTATAGATGAGAATATGAAAGAGGTTTTTTTTTTGACATAAGTCATCGGCTGGCTTTTTCGTAAAAGAAGAGAAGATTTTAGGATGACTAAGTTGGAATTAAAAAATCTTGTATCGGACCGGATACCTGAAACAATTGTAGCTGCCTCATGTGAAACGGATTCCTAACACAAATGCCTATCGGAAACTGTTGTTATATGGTACTCGGTGCTAGGTGCGGAGCAGGATCGGGACTTTTTATTGAAGAACCATATACCGTAAACTCTTATCGCTTCCCCGATCTTGATACGATCCTTCAAGTGGAGATCCGGTATTTTTATGATTTTAGCGCTATTATTCACCGGAATTATTTCAAATTTGGTGTTTGAAGTACAGCCTATGACAGGTCCACCTCTTCGTATAGCTCCCATATAATGGTACCCCCCGATATTCGGTACTTAGTTGATTTTAGCGACATTATTAACCGAAATTGTTTCAAATTTGTTATTTCAAGTTCGTAATGAATACTACAGCCTATGACAGAAAATTGTCTGTCCAGGTCCACATCTTCGTATAGCCTCCAGATAAAGGTACCCTCCGATATTGATGCACATTCTGTATATTTTCATTTCAGAAATACGCCCAAAACTATACCAAAACCATTGGCAGAGGCTTGCGTTTCTTACACAACCGCATGGATGAGATCAACGATTTGTATGCCCTCTCAATTATAGCGGTAACCCTACAAATGGCCGAAGAGAATGCCAGCTCGAAAAAGGTTTTGGATAGAATAATGCAGTATAAGAAGTCAGATAACGAATCAGTTTGGTGGAGCCAAAATGATCGAAATATGGCAAAAGATGTTGAAATAACCGGTTATGTATTAGTGGCCATGCTTAAGATGGGCTATAATAAGGAAGCTGCGGAAAAAGCTTACAAATGGTTGACACGACAGCGTAACAAGAAGGGAGGATTTAAGTCCAGTCACGACACCGTGGTGGGACTGCAAGCCCTTATCCAATATCCTGTAAAATATAAAAAATCATCTGGTCAAATTAATGTCGTGGTTAACTATACAGCGGTGGATGATGAAAAGCGGACGGTGAGAGTCGGAGAAATCTCTGTGGACCAAAGTAATATGAAAATTTTACAAACCGAAGAGGTAAGTTGCGGATATTATATTACATGTATTAAATGTCAGAATGCCAAACGTTGTATTTGTGATGTAGACGTCCCAAGAGTTCCAAAAAAAAAAAGAAAAAAAAAATCAAAAGAATCCCCTTGAGTTTTTATACCCTCAGCCGTATGGCTATAGAGGGGAGTATCCGAACTTAGATCGAGTTCAGAGATGGACAGTATCGGTCCACTCCCTCATGTACCTTTCCCACAAAAGGTCGAAATTTTCAAAATAAATATTTTACTGCACAGAAAGAGAATGGATGATACGATTTTGCTCTAACTTTGCAAGTCCTAATATTTCTATCAGTGCCTCGCCAGGTGCAAAAATGGACAACATCGATCAACTCCCTCAAGTAACTCCCCCCAAAATGGTCAAAATTTTGAATAATTATAACTCTAATAAAGTAAAGTAAGAGTCCGGTTGTCTTCAAATTACACACACCACAATATTTTTTATTAACCCAAGGTATGGTGTCAAGATGAAATACATCGGTACACTCCCCCACAAAAGGGTCAACATTTTCGAATATCCATGCAGCTCATAAAACACGAAATTAACATCCAATTCAGATTTGGTACATCTCAATATTTCTGTAGGAACAAGATTTGTTATAAAGATGGTAGCGTTCGGGTCATTTCTTCTGGTACCTCCCCAAAAAAGGGTCAATGTTTCGAATAACCGAAACGATTATTAAATCCGAAATAGGCATCCGTTTCTCTTCATATCTCACACATCCCATTATTTCTACTAACACAAGATCTTCTGTGAAGATGGGATATATTAGTACACTTCTTCTGGTACCTCCCCCACAAAGGGTCTAAATTTTGAATATTCACGAAGCTTCTAAAACGTGAAATTATAATCAGACTTCCATTCAGACTTGGCAAATATCAATATTTCTATCAATACAAGATATGTTATAGAGATGGTAGATATCGGACCATTTCTTGTGGTACCTCCCCCACAAGGAGTCAAAATTTTGAATAAATAAAAACGATCATAAAATCCGAAATAAGCACCCGGTTGTCATCAAATTTCACACATGCCATTATTTTTTCTAGCACAAGATGTGGAATATATCGGCGCACTCCTTCTGCTATTTCCCCCACAAAGGGTTCACAATTTTGAAAAACAAAACGCTCAGAGAAAGCGGGATAATCACCCAAATCCCTTCAAATTTCACACATCCAAACATTTTTGCTAACGCAAAATTTGTTGTAAAGATGATGGATATCTGCCATCCCGTTCTGGTACCTCAACCACAAAGGGGCTCCATTTTCAATACCTATACTATCTGTCATAACTTGCGAAACAAGTCGGCAATTCTATACAACTTACTATGTCTAAATATTTCCCTTAGAAATCTGATATGAATATGTAATTTATCGAATTGGACGATATTAGCCGACTGCTTCGGAACCTCCCCCAAAACGCTTCAACAGTTAGAATAATCATAACTCAAGGTTGGGAGTATACATCTGCCAGCAAAAATCGACTGATATTATTTTCCTTGCTACATCCTCCACCATAGTATGGAGGGTATATTAAGTTTGTCGTTCCGTTTGTAACACCTCGAAATATACATTTTAGGCCCCACATTCTTGACCAACATAAAAGCCTATGTCGATTTAGCGATGTCCGTCCGTCAGTGGAAATCACTCTAGCTTCCGAACAAAATGAAGGAAGTTGATAAAATTTTACTCAAATGTATATTATGTCTGCAGGACTATTGGTAATGAAAATATACCATGTAGGTCCACGTTTTGGTATAGCCCTCATATAAGGGTACCTCCCGACATTCAGTATTTCGATGATTTTAGCGACATTATTCACCGGAATTGTTTTAAATTTGGTATTTGAAGTTCGTGATGGATACTACAGTCTATGGCAAAAAATTGTCTGTGCAGGTCCACGACTTCGTATAGCCTCCATATAACGGTACCTCCCTAAATTCGGTATTTTTATGATTTTAGCGACACTGTTCACCGAAATTGTTTCAAATTTTGTATTTGAAGTTCGTGATGGATACTATAGCCTGGGACAGAAAATTGTGCAGGTCACGTCTTCGTATAGCCCTCATATAAGGGTAACTCTCGATATTCGGTATTTTGATGATTTTAGCGACACTATTCATCGGAAATGTTTAAAATTTGGTATTTGAAGTTTGTGATGGATACTAAAGCCTAAGACAGAAATTTGTATGTGTAGGTCCTCGTCTTCGTATAGCCCCTATATTACGGTACCTCCCGATATTCGGTATTTTGATGATTTTAGCGACATTATTCACCGGAATTGTTTCAAATTCGGTATTTGAAGCTCGTAATGGATAGTAAAGCCTAAGACAGAAAATTGTCTGTGCAGGTCCACGTCTTCGCATAGCCCTCATATAACGGTACCTCCCGATATTCGGCATTTTGATGATTTTAGCGGCACTATTCACCGAAATTTTTTTTTAAATTTGGTGTTTGAAGTTCGTAATGGATACTCCAGCCTATGACAGAAAATTGTCTGTGCAGGTCCACGTCGTCCTATAGCCCCCATATAAGGGTACCTCCCGATATTCGGTATTTTGGTAATTTAAGCGACATTATTCACCAGAAATGTTTCAAATTTGATATTTTAAGTTCGTAATGGGTACTACAGCCAATGACAGAAAATTGTCTGTGCAGGTTCACGTCTTCGTATAGTCCCCATATAAGGGTACCTCCCGATATTCGGTATTTTGATGATTTTAGCGACACTATCCACAGGAATTTTTTCAAATATGGTATTTGAAGTTCGTAATAGATACTACAAACTGTGACAGAAAATTGTATGTACAGATCCACGTCTTCGTATATCCCCCATAGAACGGTACCTCCCGATATTCGGCATTTTGATGATTTTAGCGGCACTATTCACCGGAATTTTTTTTAAATTTGGTGTTTGAAGTTCGTAATGGATACTACAGCTTAAGGCAGAAAATTGTCTGTGCAGGTCCACGTCTTCGTATAGCCCTCATATAAGGGTACCTCCCGATATTCGGTATTTTGATGATTTTTGCGACATTATTCACCGGAATTGATTCAAATTTGGTATTTGAAGTTCGTAATGAATACTTCAGCCTAGGACAGAAAATTGTCTGTGCAGGTCCACGTCTTCGTATAGCCCTCATATAAGGGTACCTCCCGATGTTCAGTATTTTGATGATTTTAGCGACATTATTTGCCGGAATTGTTTCAAATTTGGTATTTAAAGTTCGTAATGGATACTACATCCTGAGTCAGAAAATGAGGCATGTAGGTCCACGTCTTCGTATAGCCCCCATATTACGGTACCTCCCGATATTCGGTATTTTGATGATTTTAGCTACATTATTCACCGATTTTTTTTTCAAGTTTCTTATTTGAATATTCTAATGGCTGATGAGAAAAGTTCCCTATGCAGGTCCACGTCGTCGTATAGACGGCTACATTCCGTATTTTTAAGATTTTAACAGGATTTTTAACGGATTTTATTTTTTTTTTCTTGAAAATTGACAAATTCATTCCAAATGGTGGAGGGTATTCCAAGTTCGACCCGGTCGAACTTACAGCTTTTTTTCTTGTTTTTACAAATTGTTGATATTGTGAGCCGATCAAAAGGAATGAGATAAATAACAGCCACCCATTAGTTGACAAATATTTAATTTAAATCCCTATTTTCCTCCTTCCTTTTCAGCTACCAAAAACCACACGAGCTGTGGAAATTCGCCTTGCCGGCTCTGGCAGTGTCTTTCTGCAATTCAACTACCAATACTATATCAATGGCATTGATAGCTTTGAATATTTTCGTCTTGAACCCCGAGTGAAATTACCAAATCCCGCCGAATTGACATTGGAAATTTGTTTCAGTTACATCGAACCCAATTCGGATGCTATTAATATGGTGGTGATGGAGGTGAATCTACCATCGGGAATTAGTGCCGATGAGAAAGATATCGATGATTTGTTGGAGAATGACATCGTCCAGAGAATCGAAATGAAGAATTCGGCCACCAGTGTCATTATGTATTCGGCACAATTGATAGCCGCCAATAGGAATTGTTTGAATATCATGGCCTACAAGCTGCACGATGTGATCCATTTGAAACCGGTTGCAATAATTATATACGATTATTATGATATTAGTCGCCATGACACGGTATTTTATGAGCTGCCAAGGGTGGTGTCTGAGAATCAGAGCTCTGGAGATGGGAATTCACAAAATGCCGTTGACAAAAAGAAATTTGATTTTTAAGCTAATATTTAGTGTGAGATAATAAAAAAACAATAAAAACAAAATAAATAGCCACAATATGTAGCAATTTTTTCATATCCTCAGCCACATGGCTAGAGAGGGTATACAGGGTGAGATAAAAAACTGCAAAAAAATCAAACGCCATAATTTTTACATTTTTTTTTTAATTTTATGGAATAAAAGCAAAAAATGTCGGAAATAGCATCAAATTTTAGAATAAGTTTAGGTTTGTTCGAATTGATCACCTTTGGCATGAATTATGACCTTCAAACGGCCAATGAAACCGTCACACGCTGCCCGAATGTTGCTCTGCTGTATTTTGGTCCATTCCCGGCGAAGCGCTTGCTTAAGGTGATCGAAACTTTGGTATTTTTTAGAGCCAACCTTGCTTTCCAAAATATTTCGGACACAATAGTCCAACGGATTGGTATCCCGAGATTTTGGTGGCCATTGGACGCTGAAAATGAAGCGAGGAACTTCATTTTGTAACCATTCTTGGGTGGTGCGTACTGAGTGCGATTTTGATGAGTTCTGCTGGAATGTCCAAGGTCTGCGGCCAAAATGTTAATATTCGGCATTTATTCTGATGCCATGGTTTAATACGAGCAAAGAGCGACCATCGACTGTTATGGCGGCCCACACCATCACCATGGCCGGCTTTTGAGTGTTTGGTCTGGCGGTCAACCGAAGATCGTGACTTCTTTGCCAAGTAAACACGATAATTTTGTTTGTTTACAAATGGTTGGACAACGAATGTTTTCTCATCGGAGAAACCCAAATTCGGCAGATCACCACTTTCGGTCAAGCGAAGCAACTCTTTACCTCTTTTGAGTCTATTTTTTTTTCTGTTGCTGTTGCAGTGTAAGGTCTTGCACTTTTTTGGAATTTCAATGGCTTTATCCCGAGCTCATTTTTCAATATTTGCCGAATGGAATACTGTGATATGTTCAGCTCACGAGCCATTTTTCGGCCACTGCGACGCGGGTTTCGATCAAGACGCTTCTTTACTTTTCGGGCTACGACACAGAAATGTATGTCTATTCAGTTCGAAAACATAAAATCGAAATCGTATCACGGTAACGAGCGATGGCACGAGACACAAAAGATTTATTCACATTTAAAAGCTGGAGTGCTCTAAGGATAGCCACTTGTGGTTTTCCAGCCAAATATAAAGAAATCGCACCATCACCCCAGAATTGCATCACGAATAACTAGCTGTCACACGAATAATGAGCTGTCACTGGAATAATTTTAACAGCTGTCGGACGCGTGGCTTAGAAATGACAGCAGTCTGAATTTGGTTGCAGTTTTTCTTATCTCATCCCTACATATGGGAGCTACAGCTATATCTGTACCGATTTTCACAAAATGTATGATGTACTTGCTTTTAGACTGAATTTGGTAGGATGTACCAAAATTCAGATCATTTGGACTGATATTGGCCATTTAGTGCACTATTAACCGGTAAATCGTTTGAAGATATATATGGGAGCTATATCTAAATTTGAGCCGATAATCACCAATTTCAATAGGGTTCGTCCTTGGGCTCAAACAAATATTGTTTGGAAAATTTCATCTCAATCGGATAATAAATGCCACCTGCATTTTGTTTACAAGAATACATAGATAGACGGACCGACAATCGGACTGGCATTCATAAATCGACTCAGAAAGTAATTCTATGAAAATCCTCAAAAATAACTATGATTGCGTCTGGAGTATTTTGGAAAGCAAAGGTGTCACGAAACAAGTTAAAAACCAGTAAATTCGGCCGGGCCGAACTTTAAATGCCCTCCACCATTTGGAACAAATTTGGAAAAAAAATCCTTTAAAAATTCTGTTAAAATTTTAAAAATTCGGAATATTGCCATTATATTGGTGTCTATACGACATGGACACAAGTCATTACCATATTCAAATTCGAAACTTGAAATAAACCGTGAATAATGTAGCTAAAATCATCAAAATATCGTAAATAGGGAGGTAGCGTTATATCGGAGCTGTGCGAAGACCTGAACCAGCATAGACAATTTTCTGCCATGGGCTGTAGCATCCATTACGAACTTGAAATACGCGTCTCAAACAATTTCGGTGGGTATGTACCCAAACTCGTCAAAATACGGAATATAGGGAGGTACTGGTATGTGGGGCCTATACGAAGACCTGGACCAGCATAGGCAATTTTCTGTCATAGACTGTAGTCATAGACTGTAGTTTAATTTGAAACAATTCCGGTTAATAATGTCGCTAAAATCATCAAAATACCGAATATCGGGAGGTATCGTTATATGGGGGCTATACGAAGACGTGGACCTGCACAGACAATTTTCTGTCTTAGGCTGTAGTATCCCTTACGAACTTCAAATACCAAATTTGAAAAAATCCGGTGAATAATGTCGCTAAAATCATCAAAATACCGAATATCGGGAGGTATCGTTATATGGGGGCTATACGAAGACGTGGACCTGCACAGACAATTTTCTGTCTTAGGCTGTAGTATCCCTTACGAACTTCAAATACCAAATTTGAAAAAATCCGGTGAATAATGTCGCTAAAATCATCAAAATACCGAATATCGGGAGGTACCGTTATATGGGGTCTATACGAAGACGTAGACCTGCACAGAAAATTTTCTGTCATAGGCTGTAGTTCCATTACGAGTTCTAAGTACGTAATTTGAAACAATTCCTGTGGATAATGTCGCTAAAATCATCAAAATACCAAATATCGGAGGGTACCGTTATATGGGGGCTATATGAAGACGTGGACCTAAGCAGACAATTTTCTGTCTTAGGCTGTAGTATCCGTTACGAACTTCAAATGCCAAATTTGAAACAATTCCTGTGGATAATGTCGCTAAAATCATTAAAATACCGAATATCGGGAGGTTCCCCTATATGGGGGCTATACGAAGACCTGGACCTGCATAGACAATTTTCTGTCATAGGCTGTAGTAGCCGTTACGAACTTCAAATGCCAAATTTGAAACAATTCCGGTGAATAATGACGCTAAAATCATCAAAATACAGAATATGGGGAGGTACCGTTATATGGGGGCTATACGAAGACGTGGACCTGCACAGACAATTTTCTGTCTTAGGCTGTAGTATCCATTTTGAACTTCAAGTACCAAATTTAAAACAATTCCGGTGAATAATGTCGCTAAAATCATCAAAATACCGAATATCGGAGGGTACCGTTATATGGGGGCTGTACGAAGACGTGGACCTTCACAGACAATTTTCTGTCCTAGGCTGTAGTATCCCTTACGAACTTCAAATATCAAATTTTAAACAATTCCGGTTAATAATGCCGCTAAAATCATCAAAATACCGAATATCGGGAGGTACCCTTATATGGGGGCTATACCAAAACGTGGACCTACATGGCCCATTTTCAATACCAAAAGTCCTGCAGACATAATACACATTTAAGTAAAATTTTATCAACCTACTTCATTTCGTTCGGAAGGAAGAGTGATTTCCACAGACGGACAGAGAGACGGACATCGTTAAATCGACATAGAATTTTATGCTGATCAAGGATATATATACTTTGTGGGGTCTAAAATGTATATTTCGAGGTGTTACAAATGGAATGACAAACTTAATATACCCTCCATACTATGGTGGAGGGTATAAAAATTTCGTATACAGGTCCACGTCTTCGTATAGTCCCCATTTGATGGTTTTTATTTAAGTGGTAGTTTTCGGATTTTTTTTTGAAATTTTTAAATTTCCTTCGAAATGGTGGAGGGTATTAAAAGTTCGGTCCGGCCGAACTTAACTTCTTTATACCCTACACCACAAGCTGGTCAGGGTATTATGTCTTTGTGCATTTGTTTGTAACAGGCAAAAGGAAACGAGATAGACTCATAGTTCCTTTTGATGATCTGCATAGAATCACAATCTGAGTCGATTTATGCATGTCCGTCCGTCTGTCCATGTATTTTTGTAAACAAAGTGCAGATCGCATTTATCGCCCTATCCAGATGAAATTTTGCACAGATCATTTGTTTGCACCAAACGTGCAATATCAGCCCGAATAGTATCTAATTTTGCACATACAAGCAAATTAGGCCTGAAAATAAGTATGCCAAATTTTATCGAAATCGGTTCAGATGTAGCTATAGCTCCCATATGTATTGTTCATCCGATTTGTTATTATTGTCCTCCGCAGCCGTAATATGCACTCTGTAACAACAATATTTGGGGAAATATATCAAATACAGCTCAGAAATACCTTTACTAAATTTTATCGAGATCGGTTCAGATTTGGATATAGCTCCCATATATAACTTCGTCCGATTTACCTTTCATTGTGCACCAAACTTCTAATATTTGTCCAAATGGGATGGAATTTGGCACTTACGACCGAATTAAGATCGGTTCAGATATAGCTATATCTCCCCTATATACTCTTCATCCGATTTGTTATATTTGTTACCCACAGCTGTAATATGCACTCCGTAACGACGATTTTCAGGGAAATATATTAAATACAGCTCTGAAATATCTTTGCCAAATTTTATCAAGATCGGTTCCGTTTTGGATTTAGCTCCCATATATATCTTTGTCCGATTTCAAGTTAATTGTCCACCAAATGGGCAATACAAGTCCGAATTTAAAAGATATAAATGCTTCGGCATATTCAGTCCTTTGAACTTTAAATTATAACAATAGCGTGTATGAATTTTTAATTGTTATGCGGAGCTCTACTAAATTAGCAAAGTGGTGTAGGGTATCATAAAGTCGGCCCGCCCGACTTTAAGACTTTCTTTACTGGTTTTTAATTGTTTTTAGTTTCTCAAAGATTTATACGTATATTTTGAAATTATCAGCTGGGAAACCCTCTTTCAGTTCCTTCGCCTCTTATGCGACTTGATTAAGTTGGCCTTGGTTAATATGTAACGATTGGAAGTTTTCATTGCCATGAGGTTTTTGAACTTTTCGCAAAATAGTAATTATTGAAATAAACAAAAAAAAAAAAATTGCAATATTTGCAATTCATGGGAAATCCATACAGA